AGTAGTTTAGTGGTTGCGGGGGTGAGGGGGGGATAGGATTAACGGTAAATGTACATGAGGGATCTTATTGGGCTGATGAGAATGTTCTAAACTGATTTACAGTGATGTACAACTTGATACAATTTACAAAAACATCATTAAATTATACACTTGAAATAGATATTTAAAATCTCATATGCCTCAGTAAAATTTTTAAAATTAAAATTTTTATTTTTTAAATTTTTTTCTTAGTTTATTGTCAAGTTAGTTTCCATATAACACCCAGTGCTCATCCCAACGAGTGCCTTCCTCCATGCCCTTCCCTTCTCCCCAACCCCCATCACCTAAAACTCTAATTTTTAGATTTCCAAGTTTATCAACATCTTTTTTAATTGCATCTGGATTTTGATGCAATACCAACAGAAAAGCTGTTTCCTACACTTGGGCTATAAAATAATTAACCCTGTTTTCTTCTAGTACTTACGTGGTTTCTCTCTTTAAAATTTAGATCTTTAAAAATAAAATTTTTATTTTTTTAATGTTTATTTTTAGAGAGAGAAAGAGAGACAGAATGCAAGTAGGGGAGGGGCAGAGAAAGAGAGGGAGACACAGAATTTGAAGCAGGCTCCAGGACCTGAGCTGTCAGCACAGTGCCCGACATGGGGCTCGAACTCATCTGAGCGATCATGACCTGAGCTGAAGTTGGGACACCTAACCAACTGAGCCACCTAGGTGCCCCTAAATAAGTAAAATTTAGATCTTTAATCCATCTGGAGTTTATTCTTGTATGTGCTGGGAGAGATGGATGTAGTTTTATCTTTTCTCAAATGGGTATCCTGTTGTCCCAATATCATTTATTAAAAAATCTACCTTTGCCCAGTGTTCGAGATGCTACCTTCATCATATACTAAACATCTATTTCTAGACCTTCTATTCTGTTCCATTGGTTTGTCTATTAACAGGTATCATATTGTTTTAATCATAGAGGCTTTTGGTTTTAATATCTGGTAGCACTAGTTCAGACTTGTAACTCTTTCTTTTCAGTGTTTTCTTAGTTTTCCATATATAAACTTTAGGATCTACTTGTCTAGCTCCATAAAAACATTTTTTTTAAGTTATTTTGAGAAAGAAAGTGCAAGCAGAGGAGGGGCAGAGAGAGGGAGAGAGAATCTCATGGCTTACAGGGCTTGAACCCATGAACCATGAGATCATGACCTGAGCCAAAAACCAAGAGTTGGATGCTTAACCAACTGGACTACCCAGGCTCCCCAAAAACATTATCTTCATTGGGATGGCATTAAATTAACTTAGGGAGAACTAACATTTTTATGATCCTGTTATGGGTTGGATTTTGTCCACCAAAAAGATAGATGTTGAAGTTCTAACCCCTGGTACCAGAGAAGTGACCTCATTTGGGAATAGGGCCATTGCAGATGTAATTAGTGAAAATCATACTGGAGTAGAGCGGGCCCTGCAATACGACTGTTCTATAAGAAGGACATCTGCCTAGGGTGCCTGGCTGGCTCAGTCAGAAGAGCGTGCCACCCTTGATATCAGAGTTGTGAGTTTGAGCCCCACACTGGGTGTAGAGATTGCTTAAAAATAAAACCTTAAAAAAACAAAAAGGGCACCTGGCTCAGTCAAGCATCTGACTTTGGCTCAGATCATTATTCTCACAGATCCCACATTGGGTGAGTTCCAGCCCCACTTGGGTGGAAACATGAGCCCTGAGTGAGACCCACTTCCCTCTCTAATTCCTCATTTTGTTATGTATTTGTTTACACACTCCAGCAGATACCAGTTCTTTCCTTACTTGTGCCCCTCCCCACCCATCCTTCTCCCCATCACATAAAGGTATGCTGGTGGTGGTTAACTTGAAAATTTAGTTCATAAATGTGGTGCCAGAAAGTAAATAGGTACTCAAAAAATTATGAAGACCTGTCAAGAGGACTTAAGAACCAACTCCAGGGTCTCCCAGTGGCCAAATCTGGGACAGGAGAGCAACAAAATAAATGATAGTAATGGAGTGTAACAGAGAACCTAAAATATCCATGAGTTCATGCTGGCATAAATAGTGGAATAAATGAATAGGGAGAAAGGAAAGCTCTTCTTTATAGAATTCCAGTTAATAAATAAGGAATGATGGAGGGGCTCCTGGGTGGCTCAGTTGGCTGAGCATCCTGTTTTGGATCAGGTTATGATTTTATAGTTAATGAGTTTGAGCTCTGGATCAGGCTCCGCTGTCAGTGCGGAGCCCATTTTGGATCCTCTGTTCCACCTCTCTGACCGCCCCCCCCCCCCACTTGCACTCTCTCAAAAATAAACATTAAAAAAGGAATGATGGAAATAAAACATCATTATTTGGGGGCACCTGGGTGGGTCAGTTGGTTGAGCATCTGACTTGATTTTCGGCTCAGTTTGTGATCCCACCAGGCTCACCTGCGTTGGGTTCTATGCTGAACATGGAGCCTGCTTGACTCCCTCCCCACTGCTCTCTTCTCTCTCTGCCCCTTTCCCCTGCTTGTATGCACCCTCACTAAAATAAAAATAAATTTAAAACAATAATATTTGGCAAACACCGCAGAAATAATTCAGGCAGGAATCCATGGATGCTAGACTGGGTGAAAGTAAAGTGAAAAATGAGATATGTTTTTTTTAAAAGTAAGCTCAGTGCCCAATGTGAGGCTTGAATGCACGACCCTGAGTTCAAGAGTCATATGCTCTACCAACTGAGCCAGCCAGGTGCCCCTAAATAATAGTCTTAACATTTCTAATTACAAAAGAAAAAATTAGTAACTGTTTAGGGAAAAAAACCTAGCAGATCCCACCTTAACCAAAGCTAATGTCACCAAAAATGAGACGTTGACATCCATGTGTCTTCTGACAGGGACAGGCTGAGATGGACACACCACTTCTGTGCTGTTCTTTCTGAAAACCTAGAACCTGAATTTCATCATGAGCAAATATCAAACCCAAACTAAGGGACATTCTATAAAATAACTGTCCATTACACTTCAAAAACAAAAACCGTTCCAGATTAGAGGAGCCGATGCACACAGGAGAACTAAATGCAGTGTGTGCTTCTGAATTGGATTCTGGACCAATAGAAGGTTCTTAGTAAGACAATTGGTGTAATTTAACCAAACCACTGTTCCCATTGTTTGCAACCAAGAAACTGGCCAGGACACATCAATGGCACAACCCTGGGTCCAAGCAGAGCTCCTGGGATTTAGTGCTGTTATTTTAGGAAGCATTCACAACCCTTAGAACAGGTTAGTGTACTGAATGCTCATTCCCACAAACCTCTGGACTATTATTACCATCCCCATGATGGAGATTTTAAACTGATTCGGAGATTGAGGGATTTGCCCAAGATTGCTCAGCTATTAGGTGATGTGAACTGACTTCATCTGTAGGACCCTTGATGGGTTTTAATCACAGTGTTTCTTACTAACGGCCTCCTCCAACAACTCTGTTCCAAAAAACCATTGCATAGTCATTCTGTCACAAAAAGGCCAGAAAAGAAACTTTGCCTGAGCCCAAGGTTAGAAGGTTTGCTGCCGGTGCATGACTCAGTGAGCCTGCTCACTGACCCCAGTTCCTATGTCCGTTGTTGGTTTGATCACCCATTAAAAAGTTCATGGCTTCCACATTATTTGGTATCAATGAAAATGTATTCAGATTACCATTACTTCAAAACAGCATAGCCGAAGAAAATAAAAATCAGTTCTATATCATTCCTAATAGAATTAGGCCATAAGCAGTACCTAACACGTGTAGAATCTGATATTTTATAAACCTGGAATATACTAATTAGATATAAGGTGACTGGGTTTTTTCCCCCCATTTGTCAGTAGATAGTCTGTCATGAGTCTAGCTTTCCTGCCTCTCACACAAATCTTGACACTGATTTATGTTCCTGAACAAATTAGACTTAATTTAAGAGCAAATCATCAGCAACAGGTATAATTATCTTGGCAGAACATTTATTTTAATTAATTGCTTTCTGCCTAACAGATAGAAGGGTGCTGATGCCATCTACCCTGTAAGGATTAGTGCGATCGTGTAATTTTTTTCTTCCTTCCCTAGACCTCAGTCTCATCAGTTTTAAATTACAAAGGCATTGGTTTACTTCATTATAAAATTGTAATCTTCTATGGCAGTGTTTATATAAGAAACTAGTGAAAGAAAGATGGATTTTAACTACTCTGCAGTATTATACATTCCTGGCTCCCCAAACACAGGCCCCGTTGAGTTCTGTGAAGGTCTGTGTTCTGAGGCTAAGCAGCTGAAAACACCCTCACCCCCATAAACTTGCCAGGGAGTAGGGGTCGAGAAGACATACGTGATTTTAGAACAGTGTCGTTTCTTTTCCTGGTGAAGTTGATTATCAGCTTGACTGTTTATAGTTAAATGAGAGGCAAGAAGAAAACCACCTACGGACATTTAACGCTGTAACTGTTAAAGGTATCTTGCATTAAGTGGCAGAAAACACAGTAACTAGGCTCCATCTTTTCAAACGTGTCAACTTCAACATTGCTTAGAAATGATTTGATGATCTTTCCAAAGAAGAAGCACAGAAACAGCTCACACTAGACCCGAGTAGGGTTCCCAGGGGCAGGGCACCACAACTCTGCGACTCAAGTAATTTTGCTACATAATCATGAAATCTGAAATTCTATTAAGTCTTTTAAGAAATAAAATTTCAGCCTTTAAGACTTTACCTTGCATAGTCCTTCCTATGTCGACCACTTACTTACTCATCTTTTAAATACTATAGGGAAATTTAAGCTTTACCAACCTAAAGTCTAGTGTGAATTCACCACGTATTCTGTATAAGTTCAATAACAAGAGTGGTAATTAAGATGTCTTCCTTGTCTTGATACGGAATCTCAGGCAGCGAGAACAAATGTAAAAACACCACGAAACCATTTGTGTAACAAAACCGCCAATTCTGATTAAATAAAACCCCGGTTAGGTTTTTACAATACAAAATAGATTTAGTATTGAAATGACACAAATTTGGAACCATTATTAACTTTATTTGTCACTCTTTATAGACATTGGTCCACTTCCGCATGAAAAGTAGGGAGCATCTACTTCCACTTAATATTCTAGAGAATGACGTTGTACCACAAATTATTAATAGTAACTTGCACGGGGGGGAGTTACTAAAAGATTTTATATTCAAGCCCCAAGATGTCCCCCAAATATTGGTTTTTGTGTATATAATTACAGGTATCTATAAACTCCACAAAGCTAGTTTCTTTGTGGATCAGTGTAGATCATCAACACCATGACCTGCATCACCAAACTTTCAGAAGAGGTTAAAAAACAGCTATCCTCTGTCAGTCAGATGCAGTGCCCAATCTAAGTAACTGTAATAAGCACTCTCATAGTTTAGGGCTACTTGAAGTTAAAAAGCTCCTATCTTGTTGCAGAGATATTTACATCAAATTAAGACATTTACAAATGGTTCATAGGATATAACAGCCCACATATCACTTTCACCTATCCTGTGTAAGGAGGTTATTAAACACTCATAAGTTTCTCTAATTCAGTGCATTTTCCCAACATAAATAACACAAGCTATTCTAAATGTTTTACATTTATTTCAGTGCACAATTCCAAATATTAAATGGAATGAAATTATATTAAATGGTTATATCATATTTGAGCATATTCTAGAATCTAATCACACAAATTAATCCACAGCAATATTCACTTTAAAAGAACATCACAGGCACACAGAACAAAAATTTTCTTCTTTTTTATAAATTTAAAGTATACCATCTACTTTCAACTATACTAAAAGAGTTAGCCAATTTCCAAACCCCTTTTCTATGTTTGGCATAAGGAAAGTTCAATCCATTCGAATCTTCTGGTTTGTCATCCTATAAATAATGCTGTCATATCCAGGATCCATGTTCCAGATATTGTAAGAGGTGACAATCACAGCCAAGGCCAAGGCGATCATTATCCAAAGTACCATGTTGAAAACCACTGGATACTCAAGGTTATACTTATATGCAAGGTTATAGGGGCTTGGTGGATTCCTCTACAATGAAAAAAAGAAAAATATCAAAAGGGAAGAATTTTAAGATAGGAAATTATCCCAGTTTGGTAGCTAGGATTCATTTATCTGACAATCATTTATTCCTAGGTGGAATCAAGACATGCTTATACTAGGAGGAACCAAGAAGGGGAGCCTTCCCAGAAAAGGTAAGCGCATGGTCAGTGGAAGTATAAATACCAGTCCCACTGCTTGAGAAAATGGGGCAACACCAGTAACGCTGAAAATGTCAATATCCTGTGACCTGGCAAGTCCACACCCTAGGAAACACTTCTGTATGTACCAAGAGGCACGCACAAGGGCATCCATTAACAGCACGGAAGACGTGGCACATCCACACAACGGAAGCCACAGCAGGGAGGACTGCACTCCGGCCTGTGTGACCCTTAGAAACAAGAATGAGCAGCAAACACAGAAAAATACGAATAGTGTGATTCCATTTATATAAAATTCAAATACAGGCAAAGCCAAACACCGTTTAAGGGTAAATCCATTAAGTGGTCAGACCATGAAGAAAACAAGGACATGATTAACCTATCAGGGCAGCAGTCACCTACCTATAGATGGGGAGGGTAGAGAGACAAGGAGGTTCATAGAACAAATATTCCCTTCTGCTTTATATAGTGTTAAATTTTTTTTTCTTTAACTAGTACCACACATGTTACACATTTCCGTGTGCTACCTAGTTTGTTGCTTTGTTTTTAAAGATGAAAACAAATAGTTCACTCAACCACATCTTCATCCAGCTGGGCCTTGGTGAAGCTGGACTCTATTCCAGGCCTGTGCAAAGGCACCGTTTGGGAAACGTAGTTCATTCGGACTAGAGAACGGGACGAGGACGCCAGCAGATGTGGCTAGAGGAAGGCGTGGGGGGTCTGGCCTGGAGCCTACGCGCACTGAGAAGTCACTGACAAGTTTCAAGCAGGAAGTGAGTGACAGGATCAGGTTGCTCTTAAAAGGAAAGAGAAGAGACTGTAGCCCCACAGCCCTAGCACCTGGCATGCTGTAAGCACGCAAATGTCTCCTTAACTTCTTTCCTCTCCCCCTCAAACTTAAAGAAAGATCGTGATTTCCATGGGAGAGAGGGTGGGTCCTTGTACATGGGACCTTAGAGAGGAGGAATTCACCCTTGAAGACCTCTTTCGTCTTTGGGGGTAAAGGGGTTCTCTGTCCCTGTGTACAACTCCGTGCCTCTTTGTGGTGGTGATGACTGTGCTGCTCTGTGACTAAACAATCTAATTGTAGACCATGCCCAGCACCATGAGAAGAACCTCAAGCTGAAGGCCTCGTTTCCTGGGAGGTTGGCAAGACCCGTCAGCACAGAAGTGAGGGGCAGGCACTGGACCCAGGAGAGCGAGGACACAGACCACGGGTCTGAACAGAATGGTATTTATTCCCAGGAATCTTTGGTACCAACCTCCCATCTCAGTGGTTTCATCTATTAGAATTAACAAATAGGAAACTTTAAAAATTCAGATTACATACGTAAAGTGTTAATTCACAACCTTGTAGGTAAAGAAAATCCAACATCCGCCACCTGATTCTAGCCCCTCGCCACGTGTGCAATAATTTCAGAAACTACTGCTTAATAAACTCACTTTATCCATTATAAATTCAACTAACATCTCCGAGAAGACCAAGCCAATTCACCTCTACAAAACTTGTTTGCCAAACTCCCCAAACAAGGGTACCTTCTTCAAACTGGCACGCTGCTCTTTGGAGTTGCTGCATATAAAACTCACAGGCCCAACGTGGACAATGTTGAAAGAATCTAGTACGTAAAGTCTTTGGTTACATTCAAATCTGCCTTTTAAAAAAGTATCTTGTGGGGCGCCTGGGCGGCTCAGCCGCTTAAGCGCCTGACTCGATTTTGGCTCAGGTCATGATCTCATGGTTCCGGAGTTCCAGCCCCACCTAGGGCTCTGCAGTGTGGTGCCTACTTGGGATTCTTTCTCCCTCTCTCTCTCAAAGTATCTTGTTCTTTTTTTCTTGACTCCTCCTTTGTTCCTTTAAACATTTTAATTGCTTTGTAGCCTTTGCCCATATTCTATTGAGGTTTTTGCTGGTCTTTGCTGGTCTATCTAATGGATGCTTTAGTCGCTACCTTGCACTCATGGTGGATTGGCTCCACCTGCTTTACAGTGTTCTGAGTTCACATCTGGGGACGCCCCCTCCACTGTGGCTTGTGGAGATAGAATGTCCTATCAGAGGTTTTACATGGACTCCTGCTGGGCACCGCAGGTCTTCACCAGTCTTTGTATTAATTTCTTGGCCTGGGGCTTCTTAGAACTTGCAGGTAAGAGAAATTTGAGCCACAAACCTCAAGAATTTAAAACCTTAAGAATTCCCTAAGAGGGCTCAGATCTCTGGAAGAGTCAATCTCCTCTGAGCGCACCGGTATAAAATAAACCTCCTCCTTTCCAAGGGGAAAAAAAATCCGCAAGCGACATTTCCATCCCCAACACATACCCCAACTACACAGGGCCCAAGCAGCCGTTCTGTCTCCGGCTGGTGGGCAGTGACGGTTTTCTAGTCTACCCTCTCCCTAAGGGCGTAGCCCTCAGAGAGTCTTATGGTTTTATATGGAGGGGTGGGGTTCAAACACCACCCTTTTAGGGAGCCAAGGGCCTGGTTTCCTGGTAACCCAAGTGGAAATGTTCCTAGGGTAGCCCACTTACTAGTTTTCTAGTACCTCTTCTTTATTTGCTCCTTAAGAAGTTCCCTGTCTTGAGACCTAAGTTATGTGCTCAAAAAGCTGTTTGTTTTATCAGTATTTCTAGGTGCTCTGCGCTGGGGAAATTGGTGGGATTGTCTAGCCTGCCATGCTGTCTTAAATCAGGTCCTCCAACTCCAATCACAGAATGAAACCACCTCAAACCAGTCACGCCTAGCTTATCTTGAACAGGCATTACCTTTGGACCATCTTTAAGTGCCACAATGCACTCAATAAAACTGAGCACGGTGGGAGCTGCACATGGGTCCAAAAGGGAGTGTCTGTAAACGACTGGGTAGCTAATCGGCGATGCTGCTCTTGTGTGTGTGTGTATATATATATATGTATATATATATATGTGTATATATATATGTATATATATGTGTGTATATATGTGTGTGTGTATATATATATATGTGTGTGTGTATATATATATGTGTGTGTGTATATATGTGTGTATATATGTGTGTGTATATATATATATATATATATAACGTGCAAAACACATGTTTTGCTATGGCTAACACCCTTGCCCAGGCCCCTCTAAATGCTTAAAGCAAGATCCAGGCCAAAAACTTGTAGTAAATTATCAGGAGTAGACAGAGCAGATCATAGCAGAAGAGGGACTATGCCACACAGACCGCATACCTCCTAGAAAAGCAGACTCCACAGGCTGAATCCTACCACTCCCTCACATTAACTTCCCATGTCTCCTTGTGATAGCAACATTTGAATTCTCTTACTGGCTTTGACAGATTTATCCCGAACTCAAATTCTTGCTTTATCTGATTACAACCCCCAAACCCTGGCAAAACACATGCCTATGTGAATAAGCAACCTATGTTTTCATTTAAATTGTTTTTCAAATTTACTGACTGTTCTTCCATGTCTCCCACAGGTGACCTAGGATTCTGTGGGGGTTTTAACTTTGTAGTTTTATTTTTTTTTTTATTATTTTTTTTTATAAGGGTATATGAGCTGTGCCTTTAATTTTTTTAATGTTTTTTTTTTTTATTTATTTCTAGGAGAGAGAGAGAGAGACAGACAGCGTGAGCAGGGGAGGGTCAGAGAGAGAGGGAGTCACAGACTGAAACAGGCTCCAGGCTCTGAGCTGGCAGTCAGCACAGAGCCCGACGCGGGGCTCGAACCCACGAACCGCGAGATCATGACCTAAGCGAAAGTCGGACGCTTAACCGACTAAGCCACCCAGGCGCCCCTTAACTTTGTAGTTTTAAAGCAGGATCTAAAAATGTACTCACCTCTTGTTTTGCCTCAAGAATAGTCCTTGTCTTCCTCACAAGAGATGTGTCAAATGATCTGACAGTCACTAACTCCACCACGGCATTCCCACCATAAAGGTTGTACATGTCATCTGCGAACTGAAGAGTTACTGACATTACTATGAATCACATTTATTAAAATGATTTTAAAGCTCTGTGCACTTACAAGAACATTTGCCTATTGGCTAATGAAGTACACTATGTCCTAAAGGTTTGATTATGTTAAAATCAGAAAGGTGTTCAACTTCAACATATATTCAAATGTTCAAAATAAAATTAAGAGACAAGTTGTTGGCATGTAAATTGGGGGAAGGGAAGTAGGAAAGGCAAATGAAAATCTTCCTAAGTGGTCTCTGGTTCATCACAAATACCTAATAAAGTTTAGAGTTGCACGTGAGCAACTCCTAGGGCAGAGAGAAACTAGCATTCATCACACATCTACTCAGTGTCTGGGACTGTGCTAACGTGTTCTCCTTCGATGATTTCATAGGGCTAATGGGGATAGAGTTTCAGTTAGGGAAGAAGAAAGTTCTGGAAATGGATGGTGGTAACAGTTGCACAACAATGTAAATGTATTTAATACTACAGAAATGTACACTTAAAAATGGTCAAAATGGCAAATTTTATGTGTATTTTACAGTAAGAAGAAAAAGTACTGTGCTGGAGTTAATGGTCATCTCCCGTGCTGTCTGCGCCAGCAGCAGAGACCTGTCAGCACGCACCTCTGACCCCCACCCTTGGTCACTAAAATGAGAGGTTCTTCAGTCAATGAACTTCACTAAATGAGTTTTTCCATTAAGAGACTAAAAGTGAAATGGCCATACTCTTACTGCTCATACCCCATCAATAATTTACCTTTTGCAGAGCATCGACAAGGATCTTGGAAGCATCTCTGAATTGTTCAGAGTCTTCCCCATAATGTTTCCCAATTTCATCCAGACCTGCCAGCTCCAGCGAATATAAATCAGGAGAATGATCCTTGGCTAGATGCTTATGTCGAGACAACTTCGGGGAGCAAAGAAAAGGAAGTGGATAAAGTAATGTCAGACCCAGCCACTTAAGGTCTTATACCTAACTAGACTAGCTTGAACGGGAACCATACCAGTGCGCCACAACATACAAATGGTCTAAAATGGTGGCAGACAGAATTAGTCGAAATGAGAGTTTCTAATAAACCCAACACAAATCTGATTTTTAAGAGCAATTTTAAGACTCTTTGAATATTTAATAAAAGCTCTAACAACTCCTTAGTTAAAAAAAAAAAAAAAAAAAAGCCTCAGATAGGAGGGATGTCTTGGCTAGCTCAGCCAGTAAAGCATGGGGTGCTTGATCTCAGGACCGGGAGTTTGAGCCCCACGTTGGGCCTACATAGAGCTCACTTTAAACAAAAAAACCTTAGCTGTGAGCTGGTATATGAAAGAACAGATAGTTGGACTAGTTTGATCACAAGAGAACATGAGGGATCAGTGCTCAGAGAGCAGATCCCTCCCAAATGCCCTCCTAGACCAACTGGCTGGCCCCAGCAGTACACCTCTAGACTCCCCCAAACTAACCTGCTGAAAACTTTGGGCAACAAATTCAGAAGACAGTATACAGGTAAGTTTTCTTATTTCAGTCACAGGAGGATTTTTAAGAAATTATTCACTCTTGGGGCGCCTGGGTGGCTTAGTCGGTTAAGCGTCCGACTTTCACTTAGGTCATGATCTCGCGGTTCGTGGGTTCGAGCCCCGCGTCGGGCTCTGTGCTGACTGCCGGCTCAGAGCCTGGAGCCTGTTTCAATCTGTGACTCCCTCTCTCTCTGACCCTCCCCTGCTCACGCTCTCTCTCTCTTAGAAATAAAACATTAAAAAAAAAAAATTAAGAAAAAAATTATTCACACAGGAGCGCCTGGGTGGCTCAGTCCGTTAAGCATCCAACTCTTGATTTCGGCTCAGGTCGTGATTTTGCAGTCCATTGAGTTTGAGTCCTACATCAGGCTCTACGCTAGCAGGGCAGAGCCTGATAGGGATTCTCTCTCTGCCCCTCCCCTGCTCACTCACTCTCAAAATAAATTTCAGAAGTATTTTTTAAAAAATCACACACACAGAATATACTGCAGGCATATTCATTTCCTTCCTGACAACAGCATTATTAGTCCAAACATTTCTGTTACTTTTTAAATTTTATTTTAGATCGTGTGTGTGTGTGTGTGTGTGTGAGCAAGAGAGGGGTGAGAGATTTCTAAGCAGGCTCCATGCTCAGCACAGAGCCCAATCCCATGATCATGAGATCATGACCTGAGCCTAAATCAACAGTCAGATGCTCAACTGACAAACGCACCCCTGTTTATTTCTATTTTAGACCCACAGATAAAGATAGAAGAATTAGGTTTTAATGACTCAAGAAATCAACAGCCAAGTCAGGACTACAGTGAGGGTAGCCTTACTCCCAGGCCTGTGTTCTTAGAAGATATACTTCCTATCTGTCCTAAAAGCAGAAAAGCAAAATAATTTCACTGTAACAAGAGAGTTCAAAATTCCCACCACCACTGATTTCTCAATTTTCATATCATAAAATAAGGGCATACTTAAACTTTAATTGGGTTCACTATCATTCAAGGATTCTCGGGAAATGTTTTTTGGAACCAAAATAAATGAAACAAATACTAGAGCAGCCTACTTACCAAACTTGAAATATCATGTAGCACTTGTAATTCAGAGAGAAAGAGCAGATCAACCTGCAGAGAACAAAAGGAAATAAACATTATTTTAAATATGCACCAGAGAGCCGTGCTTTGCCATTTATCAAGTAAGGAACAAGATACTACATGCATTAAGCACAGTAGGTGACTTTATGCAACAAATGTCCTCCATTTGGTAGGTTCATTTCAATTGAAAATGCACATAAAAACATTACTTCCTAACAAAAAAGGTGATGGTCATTCCCAGGCAGGGACTACGACTCAATAGCTGTATTTTTGATAAAGGTATAATAACGCATCCACACTCTCAAGTGGTTTTCCCACAGGGCAACACAATTCTCTAACACTGCAGTGAGGCCCCGCCAGTGGCCCCGTCTGCTACTCACATTCCTTGAACATGTTCCGCAGCAGAGCAGAAAACACAGTGGCCCTGCTCAGCCACAGGAGGTAAAGTTGGGAGGAAGGTAAGAGTGCCTCCCTCTACTGTACGAATCAGGAAGAGGAGGCAATGCATCAGAAATGGCAGTGAGTGACGGCCTCTAGGTACCCAGATCAACACAGCTCCAGCCATCAGGTGGTTTATGGGACGGCTGGCCCGTCTGCCTTAACTGGTGGCAGCATGAGAATGTAATGTTAATTTACTCAATTCACTAAAAAGTCTTAGGCTAGACTACACGTCAGGAGATTCATTTAAAAATTACACTAAAGGAAAAAAAAGAAGAATCTACTCCAGCAGTCAATTTGTAAAACTTGTCATTTCCTAAAATTGCAAGTTTGCTCTCAAGTCAGGGAGCATAAGAAATGGGAAATTAGTAATGATATTTATTCATTCAATGACAGCACTACTTACTTCATTGTTCCTACTCAGAGAATTGAGGGGAAGTGAATTGAGAACAGAGTTTTCTTGAAACAGGCGATTGCGGAGCTGTCGTAATGTCACCGAGAGATCTTCAAAAACTGAGTTCGCCTTCCCCACCATATACACTCTCTGCAAGAAAAATCCAAAATGTTGTTACAGTCTGCAGATTAATTCCAATATACAGAGTATATTTAAAATACAATATAGAGCGTGTGTGTATATATATACGTATATACACACACATACAGAGCATATGCAATTTTTCATAAAAGTAGGGTTTTTAAAATTTATTTATTTAGAGAGCATGTGCATGGGAGGGGCAGAGGAGAGGGAGAGAATCTCAAGCAGACTCTATACTGTCAGCCTGGAACCCAACGTGGGGCTCGATTCCATGAACCATGAGATCACGACGAGCCGAAATCAAAAGTTGGACACTAAACTGACTGAGCCACCCAGGCACCCCCGTAAGTTTTAAGTTTTCATTAAATAAGGAAGCTTTTTTAAAAAATAATTTGTTTGTTTATTTTTGAGAGACAGACAGAAACAGACAGAACACGAGAAGGGGAAGCACAGAGAGAGACGGAGACACAGAATCTGAAGCAGGCTCCAGGTTCTAAGCTGTCGGCTCAGAGCCTGACACAGGGCCCAGACTCACAAACTGAGATCATGAGCCGAAGTCAGATGCTTAACCGATTAAGCCACCCAGGTGCCCCAAGGAAGCTTAGTTTTTAAAGCATCCTCAGTAAAAACTGTATCACTTACCTCCTCACTGGGAGCCAACTGCAAAACTACAGGAGTTTCTTCAGAAAATAAGGAGTGAATGGAATTTGCAACGCTGTCAAGACTAAAAGGAACTGCCTGAAATTTAAGAGTAAGACCTGAATTATCATCAGAACCCAAGGAGTAAGAAAAATTATCCAGCAACAAAAGAGCCTTAAAAGAAAACAAAACAAAACAAAAAACCCAGCATTTACATTTCCTATGTAAATTCAAAAGACTCACATCATTTTGAAATATAAACAGCCTTTTCAGGGCACACATAAAACAGCCCCCTAGTGGGCCAGGAGTGTGTATCTCCCAATAAGCCTAAATGGGAAATAGCTTGCCAACATGAAGGACACAACACTCTTGCACAAACCATCATTTTCTGGTCGTAGGTCATGTATTTTAAGCAGGAAGTAATTTGGCTTTAATATGGATTAAGTGTGTCACAAAGAATGTATAGTCTACAAAAAGGTATTAACTTGTATGTAAGAGGAGGTCAGAGGAATTTAACTGAAAGAGAACTAGACCTCATTTCCCATTTCAAAAAATTTTAAATGCTGGATTTAGGGTTTATCTCCAGATAGAATGTAGACTCAGACAAGGCATAAAGTGTGTCATAAGAATTTTGAAGCCTCTATCGCGGGACCACATCAAATTGAAATAACCAATTGTAGTAAAATCTCCTTTATTCTTGAATATTTTTTCTTTGAGGTATTACATATAACAGTGCAGAGATCTTGGGGTAACCGCTCAAGGAATATTTACAAATGGATATGCACATAAAGCCCAAGCAGGTCAAGAGACAACATTATCAGCGTCCTAGAAGGCTCCCCATCCACTCTCTCCACCCCCAAGGGTAACCAAAATTCTGACTTCCATCCGCATTTGTTTTTAACCCCAAGTTACTTTTAAAAATAAGTTATGCTAACATTTCCTCTCAAAAAACTATGCTAGTCTCAACATTACTGTAGTAGAAGAAGCGCTATAATAGTGTTTTTGTTGTAATGGAGATTTCTTACAGTGATTTTTTTTTTTTTTGGTAGTTCCCTTGGCTAACATGGTATAGGCAGAAAGAAATATGATTAGTAAATCTTAGATGAAATCCCAGCATCAAAAGTAAACTGATCAACTTCATGATACTGTGAAATAAAACCAATCTTTTCTTACTCAAGCTGCGTATTCTTCACAAAATTCTCTTAAAAGAAGCTGTGGGGAAACTGAACAAGGGGGAGGGGTCACACTTGTACACTGTCACAGTGCCCGAGGCAGCCCCAGGTGCCTTCCTCGCGCAGTCACACAGTTCACCTCGGGCTTTGGAGGGAACGCGAGAGCTGTGACATGCTCTCCGGCCTCATTCCACCTCGTGAAATGGCACTCGTGTCAGAAAGTTGAAGATGAAAGGTAACCTATCCTTAGCAACCAAATGGGAGAAGCTAGAGTCAGGTAAGGGCCAAACTGTGAAGACAAAAATCACACAGACTGCTAAGCTCTAAAAGGAAAAGGCTCAGCTGCTTAAAATCTGACTTGTTTTCTTCCACCCTATCAGAAGGCTGTGTGTGTGTGTGTGTGTGTGTGTGTGTGTCCTTGAGAAAATGACATTTCTGTATCTTTAGGACTTGACATTCTAATGAAAACAGCTGGCTAATCAAGTAGCAGCTTCATTAAGGGGAATTCCAACACCTGCTGCTCTTGTAGGTTCTGTCCTGTGAGCCTTGGATTTCACTCACCACCTACTGCCAGGAAAAGTATTAGGAGTAGTCAGTCAGGGTCAAGTAATACCATGAGTTCTTTTCACAGCTTCTACTCATGTAAAATGAGGCCAGTCTGTTGAAAATGTTTAGCTTTGGATTGTATGATTTAAATTCTTAATAGCATTTTGGATATTTATGTATTTATTTTAATTTTTTTTAAGTTTGTTTATTTAGGGGCGCCCAGTCAGTTAAACGTCCGTCTTCAGCTCAGGTCATGATCTCACCGCTCGTGAGTGGAGCCCGGTGTCGGGATCTGTGATGACAGCTCCAAGCTGTCAAGCCTCCAGCTCCAAGCCTGACTCTGATTCTGTGTCTCCCTCCCTCTCTGCCCCTCTCCTGCTCACGCTTTCTCTTAAAAATAAATGTTAATTGTTTTAACGTTTATTTATTTATTTTGACAGGGGGAGAGAGAGACACACACACGGAGGGAGGGGTAGAGGGAGAGGGCAAGAAAGAATCCCAAGCAGGCTCCGTACTGTCAGCACAGAGCCCGATGTGGGCCTCAATTCCCACAATCACAAGATCATGACCTGAAGCGAAATCAGGACTCAGATGCTCAACCAACGGAGCCACCCAGGTGCCCCTATATATTTATTTTAAAGGGATCTTCCACAATGGTTTTCACAGAAATTGCATACTTAATAATCTTACTAAGATTAAAATTTTTAAGTCTGCTTTCAAAAATATTTTTGAGAGAGACAGAGACAGAGCACGAGCGGGCAGGGGCCAAAGAGAGGAGGAGACACAGAATCTGAAACAGGCTCTAACCTCTGAGCTCTCGGCACAGAGCCGGAATCAGGACTCAAACTCACGAACCACGAGATAATGACCTAAGCTGAAGTCCGAGGCTTAACTGACTGAGCCACCCAGGCGCCCCCTGCCTTTTTTTGCTTTTTTTTTTTTTTTAAATAGGCTCCATGCCTAGTGTGGAGCCCAATGCAGGGCTCAAACTCACAGCCCTGAGATCGAGACTTGAGCAAAGATCAAGAGAGTTGGATGCTTAACTAACTGAGCCACCCAGGTGCCCCTAAATCTGCCTTTTGAGTTTTATTGTTCTCTTCCTTCCATTTATTCTGAGATTCTGTTGGCTTCTTTAGCTCATTTCCGATCTTTTAAACTGTCTAACATGTGCACTTAAGGCTATAAATTTTCCTTATCACTTTAGCCGCACCCCACCATTTTTAAAATATGTGGTACATTGATACTCAGTTCCAAATAATTTCAAAACTTCCACTGTGATATTCTCTTCAACTCATGAATTATTTGGGAGTACATTTATTCCAACTTTTCCTATTGATTAAAAAAATTATTTTTCAAAAGTTGTACAGAAAACCACATACGTGGTTTAGGGGCACCAGGGTGGCTCAGTCAGTTACGCATCCAACTTCGGCTCAGGTCATGATCTCAGTCTGTGGGTCCAAGCCCCACATCAGGCTCTGTGCTGACAGCTCGGAGCCTGGAACCTGCTACGGATTCTGTGTCTCGCTCCCTCTCTGCCCCTCCCCTGCTCAAGCTCTGTCTCTCAAAAATAAATATAAAAAAAAAAAAGTGGGACACCTGGGTGGCTCAGTTGGTTAAGCATCTGACTTCGGCTCAGGTCATGATCTCACGTTCTCATGAGTTTGAGCCCTACATCGGGCTCTGTGCTGACAGCTCAGAGCCTGAAACCTGCTTCAGATTCTGTCTCTCCCTCTCTCTCTGCCCCTCCTCTGCTCATGATCTGTCTCTGTCTCTCTCAAAAATAAACATTAAAAATAATAAGACCATATATATCCATATATATGGTTTAAAGATACAAATAGTTGTTAGATTTCCTATGAAAAATAAGTTTGCCCCACTTCCCATTTCGAAGATCCCCACTTTCAAATCCTTTGCTTCCTTTTGCCGTCTGTAAGTAAGTAATGTTTATATCACTACATCTTGATTTTTCAATTTTAGGCATCATCTCTTTATCACTCATTATAGAAACTGAGGATTTGGGGCGCCTGGGTGGCTCAGTCAGTTAAGCATCTGACTTTGCCTCGGGTCATGATCTCACGGTTCGTGAGTTCGAGCCCCGTGCTGGGCTCTGTGCTGACAGCTCAGAGCCTGGAGCCTGCCTCAGATTCTGTGTCTCCCTCTCTCAGCCTCTCCTCTGTCTCTGTCTCTCTCAAAAACAAACATTAAAAAAAAAAAAAAGAAAAGAAAATGAGGATTTATCTCTCCCACGTCACCAACCACACAGCCCCATCCCCCATCCCATCCATACACTCCATTTCTGTATCTTCACCCTCCCAATAGTCCTAACGCTCACTGGATCCATATCATTTCATTATTATGACGATGTACACAATATTCTCAGCCTAGCCTTATACTAGACAATTACTGCTTTTCAGTTTGCTCTTCTAGTCCCTAATGGCAATAGGAAATCTGCTATCTTTCTACTTTCATTCCTTTGTAATGACAGTGTTTCTCCTCTGACAGCTTATAAGATTTCAGTGTGCTTTAAAGCTAAGGAGTCATCTATTTTGTTTTTCCCATTTCCAAATACATTTTCATTTATTTATTATTTCTTTTTTTTTTTTTAATATTTTTTTAAATTTACTTCTAGGAGAGAGAGAGAGACAGCGTGAGCAGGGGAGGGTCAGAGAGAGAGGGAGACACAGACTCTGAAATTGGCTCCAGTCTCTGAGCTGGCAGTCAGCACAGAGCCCGACGCGGGGCTCGAACCCACAAACCGCGAGATCATGACCTAAGCGAAAGTCGGACGCTTAACCGACTAAGCCACCCAGGCGCCCCCATTTATTTATTTCTTACTGAAGTGTAGTCGACACGCCATATTCGTTTGCAGGTGTACAGTGATTTGACATTTATACACATTAGGAAATTATCATCACGGTAAGTCTAGTTACCATCTGTCACCAAAGTTATTACAATATTACTGACTGTATTCCCTCTGCTTTACTTTATATCCTTGTGACTTTTTTATTTCATGACTGGAAGTTTGTACCTCTTCATCCCCTTTCCTATTTCCTTCATTCTCCCCACCCTTCCAAATACATTTTTTAAAGTTTATTTATTAGAGAGAGAGAGAGAGCGCATGCGCATGAGTGGGGGAGGGGCAGAGAGGGGGGGAGAGAATTGCAAGCAGGCTGTGCCTTGCCAGCGCAGAGCCTGATGCCGGGCCTGAACTCACAGACCGTGAGATCATGGCCTGAGCTGAAACCAAGAGTCGGACACTTAACTGATTGAGTCCCCCAGACGCCCCGCAGATACAGATACATTTTTAAAGTATCCTTTTGTGGTTTTCAGATTTCAGTGCACTGTGGTCAGAGAGAGTGGTTTGATACTAATTATTATTTGTTGAGATTTGCCTTGTGGTCTAGTACATGGCCTTTTGTAATCATGTCACGTGTGCCTGGAAATAATACTAGCCTACAGAAAGTGTGAAAAATTTCTCCCAAATCATCATACAGACCAGTCTGACTATGCCATGAAATTAGAAACTGAAAAATCAAAAATTATTTGAAAAGGACCCACATGTTAAACATTTCTAAATAACTCATGGGTTAAAGAAGTCACAGTATAAATTATGAAATATTTAGAAGTGAATAGCAATGAACGAACCACCTATTAGAAGCATCATCTAACTGCCTCATAGTTTCTATCCCTTCCTTTAACTCCTTCACAAGTTTAACATATGTATTTTCAAATCTCTTTGAGATTGGTCTATTATCTGTAGTTCTAAGAGGATGAATGTGGTTTGTTGCACCTGCTGACGCTCTCATGGCATTTATTTTCCTTGCAAGTGCTTTGTAAATGAAACTCATCTTTTTTTTTTTTTTTTTTTTTTTAACCAAAGCAGCCCCAGGCTGTGGAAGGTCCATACGCGGTGGGTCATGGGAATTTGGAGCACAGGGCTCTGCACAGCACAAGCCTGTGGTTCCGATTTCCCTTGGGAGGCTGTCTGGGTCCCAGCGCCGAGAGCGGCAGGCCAACTCCTCTGGGGCAGCCCTGGAGCAGCCAGGGCTTTGCCAGTCCCCCTTCTGAGGACAAGATGGCACGCTACAGCCCCTGGCCTTCTGCAGGGGACAGAACTCCAGCTTCAGCTCTTGCTCCCCTGCTGTGGCTTTTGAGTTTCCCATTCCTATCTGGCAGCTAGGTGTATTCCCTCCATGTCTGAAAGTTGAGGCACGCACATAAAAGTGTTTTGGTGACTTCTACGTGCGGGCAGTGGAAGGAGGGTGTCTCACGACCGCTCAGCCAGCCGTACCACCTGAAGAGCCGGGGAAGGAAAGAATGAACCAGCAAAATAGCCTCCGGTCTCCTTCGTACACAAAAATCAGGTAAAATTCGGAAGGGAGAGTGACAAGATAATGCCCGAGAAAATGTAGACAAGTGTGCTTAGAACACAATTCATAACACAGCTGATAAGATTAAAAATGCATGCCTTTTTTATCATAAATACTCACATTCTCCAGAGGGTATGAAATGACACTGCCTGGGGGTAGAGCGAGTTTGTCTACTCCCTTCACCAACACCATAACGGTAGCCCGAGGACGATGGAACAGGTTACCCACCGCGAGTCCCGGCCAAGAAAGGTCCTAAACATTGGGAAGCATGAAATGGTGCTTAATTATTAAGCCCGGAAACTATTTCCCCAGTAACATCTACGGAGCAGAGCCAAGGGGTTCTGGGATGACACTGGCAACGACAGTTCACAGGGAGAGCAAAGGTTCTGTCCAATTGATACGGATTTCAGCCTCCTTCGTGTTCTTACGCTTCCTTCTACAGATCTGAGGTGACAAAGTCAGTCATCTCACAGCCTTTGTGGAAGAAAGCAGAATGAAATGCTGGTACTTTTCAAATTCCAGATTACAAACTATTGCCTTCTTCATGTAAACACAGATGCTTTCTTCCCCCACATCATCCTTTGCCCTTATCTACAGCGTCGTTTCTCTCTTTCACACGGACACAGCAAAACGTCAAAAGTCTTCTCTACAGACTAAGCTCTTCATAAAAAAAAAAAAAAATTCCTGGTGGAAGTAACTCCTATTAATTTATAATAATTATTTCTAAGGGTTATTTTGACAGCCACTTTGGTCAAATTTATGCTCGTAAAGAATCAGGTACAAATTTCATCCTTAAACGTAAACAACCGGTCCCAGTCACTCAAGGAGTTTGGGGCCCCCACCCACAGGCCCAGTAGAGAGTAGCTCCCAAGCATGGCTTCTGGGTTCAAGGACACTCAGCACCAAGGGGGAGAGTTCCTTTGAGTGACTGATGATATCTAGAGACCATATCAAAAGCACCAAATTTATGAAGTGGGAAGAGAAAACGACAGCAAGACAGAGCAAATTGCATCTCCTATCTTCTCGCCCTTAACTGCAGCTCTCTCACACCGACAGGATCTAGGCCCCCTCCACTGCATGTCAGCAGCCAGTTACTACACAGGTTACAGCTTCATTGTGGGAAACCAAGGTCCTAGGCAATCCCACAGCTACTGACCACATTATCTTCCTAAACTCAGGCAAGATGCACATGTGTTTTATCACTCATGATAAACTGCAATAGGCTGAACGTCTGTGTACCTCCCTCCCCTCACCCCCCAAATTCAGGTTGGAAACTATTCCCCAATGTGATAGTATTAGGGGCAGGCCTTAGGGAGGTGATGAGGTCACGAGGATGGAGCTCTCACGGCGGGGATAGTGCCTTACAGCCCTCTCCCCACCATCTGAGGACATGAAAAGAAGCCAGCAGTCTGCAAACTGGAAGGGGGCCCTCATTAAGAATCTGACCGGACTGGCACCCTGATCTTGGACTTCTAGCCCTCAAAACTGTGAGAAATAAATGTCTGTTGTTTATAGAAGCCACCCAGTCTGTTGCATTTTGTAATAGCCCGAACAAAGACAAAAAGCTATAGAGTACTGGGGAAAAAAGGTAAAACTATACATCTCAAGAATAGGACAGATGCACTCTCAGGTACAAAGAACCTCACTGCTCTGAAGAATTACACGGTTAATGATTTATGATGACTTGGTTTCATAAGCAAGCTGTAGCACATCTCCAAACCTCCCTGACTACAAATGAGCTTTTTTACTTTTGTAATCTGTACCAAGTATACCTAGGTTTGCTTGCTGCTTTCTTGGGCTATGAAAAGAAATCAGCAAAGACACTTTCAGAAGGAGTTCCGATACTTTTTTTTTTTTTTTTTTTTTAATAAATACACATACTTCTTTAACAGAGAAGCCCATGGACAATGCAGCCACGTCTGGGATTCGCTCTCCTGGTAGAGGCCAATTTCCATCTCGGAAAACAACAGACCCTGGTGATCTTAATATACTAAACTCGTTCCCCAAAACACCTGGAAGAAAACAGATTAATAAATGAGTGATCAACAACGTAAATCTTTTGCACCCACGTTGAAAATTATTAAATATAAAATATGTTTCCCCGTTCTCAACTTAGCATACTACATATTGTTGCACAAAACGCTGAATCAAAAACATAAACAAGTTATTTTTCAGCATAGTGCTCTAAGAACCTAAGTGCATACATTCTGCTGAGAGGCACAGTTATGAAACAGGATTCTCCTAGATGCCTTCCTACACGTGGCCCTTAAACAGGGGGCATGTGGCACTTCAAGACTTAGAAATCAATGGCATTTTGGGGCACCTGGGTGGCTTAGTCGGTTAAGCGTCCGACTTTCCGACTTTCGCTTAGGTCATGATCTCGCGGTTCATGGGTTCGAGCCCCGCGTCGGGCTCTGTGCTGACTGCCAGCTCAGAGCCTGGAGCCTGTTTCAGTCTGTGACTCCCTCTCTCTGACCCTCCCCTGCTCACGCTGTTTCTCTCTCCTAGAAATAAATAAAACATTAAAAAAAAAAATCAATGGCATTTCTCCAGAATTTAAAAATGCAACAAAACCCTGGCACAGACTAAAAAGGAAGAAACTTGAAATCTCTAAATTGTGTCTGCCCTCGACCCGGTCTTCAAATGCAAACTCATAAAATTCCTAGTATTTCACTCTGAAACCTTAGCAAGTTCGCATATCTTAGGACGGAGATCTTTCTTTACATCCCAGATCTTTCTTTACATCCCGCAGGCAAATGAGGACTGTCCGACAAACGGCAGAGGCATGTTACCAGTCAGAACATAAACACGTCAGACTTTAGAAACAAAGTAGCGTAAGAAATGGTACTTCCGGTGGATGTATCAAGAGGCCGACAAAAGATATTCTGTAATAATAAAGGCCACTAGTCTAGCTGGGAGTATGGAGCCTGGAATTAACAGGCAAAGGAGGAGAATAAAGGGACTATTTGATAAGCCCTGGGGGGACTAAGGGTGAGGTGTCCGGATTTCCAGCTATTTTGTGTTAACCCAATGATGTCTAGCTTAACACGAGAACAAGTAACTAATGGAAACTTTCAGATTCCTATGAAAAGATTAGCTCCAAGTCCAAAACAAATCTTGGCCATGCTTACCTGGTATGAGAAAATCAGACTTTAATAAAGCATCGCTGTTATTCTCTTGACCTCAGGAAAGTACCGCTTAAGGGGTATGGGAATAAAGTTGGAAGCAACAGTAAATGTTTTGGTGTTGCAGTATTGACAGTAAATAAAAGGCCTCAGGATGGTGCTGATACAACATGAAGAGTTATGAGTTTCAATTCAGCGCAGCCGCCAGAGCAGGAATTTCCAAAATGTTCTAGCCGAAAGCAGGCAAAAAAAAAAAAAAAAAAAAAAAAAAATTGCCAGAATGGGATGGCTGTCTGTAACTGATGGACATCTTGGTTCACTCAAGTAGTGGTTATTGTAAAGGCTAAGGAAAATGGGGCAGCAAGAGACCTATACTTTCCAAGTACCATACACATATTTGGGTCTGGAGATAGTACTGTTCTGCACTATGGCCCTAATCACTCAACCCCAGCCAAGAAAGCTATACTGAATGACTGTGCCCCCCAACATTGTTTTTTTGTTTTAATGTTTACTTATTTTTCAGAGAGAGCAAGAACCGGGCCGGGGGGGAGGGGAGGGCAGAGAGAGGAAGACAGAGGATCCGCACAGCACAGAGCCCGATGCAGAGCTCGAACTCACGAACCATGAGATTCTTAACCGAGTGAGCCACTCAGCCGCCCCTGCCCCCAACACTGTAGGTAGATCCCCCACTTCTGTGCCTGCACAACAGTCTTTCAGCAACCTCGAGCTTTAGAAGACCTTACAGCTGGGGCCTCCTGGACAGAAAAACTGCTGCTTAATACAGGTATGTCCTGGACATCTGACAGAAGTCATCCATTTTTCTACCAGAATATAACCAGGGAGGGAGGACACCACCTCAGCTCACAAACTCTACCTTTGCCGGCCATCATCTCCACTGTGCCAACATTCCAGTCCCCTGCAAAGTCCTTCCTTGTACTGAACTGAAATGAGCTTCCCAGCTTCTTGCAACTTAATCCCCCCTGACTCAGTCTTAGCAAATAACCTCATCTCCAGCTTCAAGAGAAAGCCCAGGACTCCCTCCCACTGCTCGCTTCCTCTCCCTACCAGAAATTTATCTGCACCAGCTCCCCGCCTTATCTCCTCTGCCTCCAGATGTTGGCAGGAACGTCCCTCCAAGAGTCTGACATTATCCTGGCATTCAGCCTTCTGAGGGACCTTCATCTGCTCACCTATTAGTCATTTAGTGTTTATTACACCACTATTCTGGGAAGACACCAATCAGGAGTCAGGCGGCTACGTGGCTGTAGGCATAAAAGGCTGGCCCTGTAGAATATAAGCTCCACTCGATATCCCCAAGAGCTGAGAACAAGGGTGCCTGACACACACACCGGTGCTCAAGAAATAATTGCGGAGGGGCGCCTGGGTGGCTTAGTCGGTTAAGCGTCCGACTTTCGCTCAGGTCATGATCTCGCGGTTCGTGGGTTCGGGCCCCGCGTCGGGCTCTGTGCTGACTGCCAGCTCAGAGCCTGGAGCCTGTTTCAGTCTGTGACTCCCTCTCTCTCTGACCCTCCCCTGCTCACGCTGTCTCTCTCTCTCTCTCTCCTAGAAATAAATAAAAACCTTAAAAAAATTAAAAAAAAAAAAAAAAAAGAAAGAATTGCGGAGTTAATGAATGAAGCCACACCTTCCACTAGCAACTTCCCCCTTTCAACTGGCTCTTTCACTTCAGCCTTAAAATAGAGTGCTCCCGTTGTAAATTACAACCACAAAAGTCCCTCCTTTGGGCCTACCAGCCTCTGCTTCCCTTCAGAGGAAGAATGCTCAGAGGAGTAATCAGCCACCGTTTGTGTCTCTACGTCCTCATCTCACACTGCTACCGAACTCACAGCTTCTGGCTCCCCCAGGCCGCTCAAACCCCTCACCAAACCCAAAAGACAATTCTCGGCCCTGAATTCATTTAACTTCTCAAAGCACCTGATACTGGGCAACTCCCTCCTTCCTGCCTTGACCCTCATGAAGCCTGGGCTCCTGTCCACCTTCTGGGACTCAGTTTCTTTCTCATCCATCCTTTAAAACAGTGATGTCCAAATTTTTTAGATTTCAACCCTTTGAGTACAAAATCTGAAAGTAGCCCCAATATACACATAAAATACACACGTGTAGGATAGACTATACGTTCATAATATATTACAAAGTACACAAAAATAGAAATGTTTTAAAATGTTTATTTGAGAGAGGGGGGGGGAGAGAGAGAGAGAGAGAGAGAGAGAGAGAGAGAGAGAGAGAGAGAGAGAGAAAGAAAGAATATGAATCCCAAGCAGGCTCCACACTGTCAGCACGGAGCCCAACACAAAGCTTGATCTCAGAAACTGGGATTATGACCTGAGCCAAAATCAAGAGTCGGGACACTTCATCGACTGGGCCACCTAGGCGCCCCCAAGACAGAAATTTTTTTAAGAGGATGAGGTAACTGTGTAGTATTGTTTCCTATTCAATCATGAGAAAACATCAAACTCAAATTGAAGGACATTATACGAAGTATCTGACCATTCCTATTAAAAAAAAAACAAAAACGGGTGGCTTAGTCAGCTAAGTGTCTGACTCTGTTTCAGCTCAGGTCATGATCTCAGGGTTTCAGGAGTTAGAGCCCCGCATTGGACTCTGTGTGGACAGTGCAGAGCCTGCTTGGGATTCTCTCTCTCTCTCTCTCTCTCTCTCTCTCTCTCTCTCTGCCCCTCCCAGGCTCACACGGTCTCTGTCTCTCTCAGAATAAATATACTTTAAAAAAAAAATCCAGGAGATTAAAAAAAAAAAGAAGACGTAAAGGGAAGTTCTAGTACCCTCTTTTGGCATCCCAATTGATCATCTTGCATCCCCCAGTTTTGAGATCCGAGGACTCCCTTCCTGACCCTCACCGCTTCCCTATTCTATATTCCCGTCCCTGGCTGAGCCCATCTATTCCTCAGGCTGCAAACACAAAAACACAGATGGCTCCCAGATTCTTCCCTTGAGCCCAACAGTCAGCTGAGCGTTTCCTTCTAAGTCCCACGGGCCCTTCAAACTCAACAGGTTCCAAACTGAACTGAGCATGTTTCCACAGGCTCCTTCAGTATTCTCTCTCTCAAATGAGGACACCACCTTCCACGCAGCCGCTCAAACTGGTCGCTCAAACTGGTCGTCCTTAAATCCTTCCTCAGCACCGCAGCCAATCAACTACCAAATTCTGTGGATTTTTTTCTCCTTATCTCACAAATCTCTTCCCCTCCAGGTCCTTACCGGGTTTGCTAGAACTGGCCGCCTTAGGACATGTCACACCGGTCTCTGAGCCAGCCTTTCTAGAACCTTTTCAAAATACAGGTGTGCTCATTCACCCATCAGTTTAACCATCTTCACTCACTGCCCAGAGCTCTGGTGACAGAACCCAAAACATTAACACCCAAGGAACTTCACCAACTTTACTTCTTCTGGGATGTCCCCAACTTAACTCATACATTCCGGCCCCACCAAACTACTGGCTCTTTGGCTCTCACATCTCTGTGCTTACCCCTGCCATTCTGTCTAAACTGCCTTTTGCTCCCACCCCAACCTTTCACATATTTGCACCTCCTTTCCCAGGAAAATTTCCCTCAGCTGCTCCATTCTGGGAGAGAGGGGAAGTATCCTTCCCTTTCGGAACTCCCACCATACTATGCTGTAATCAATGAATGGTGGATGGAATCAATGAGAGAAAAGATAAATAGGGGCGCCTGGGTGGCTCAGTCAGTTAAGCGTCCAACTCTTGGTTTTGGCTCAGGCAGTGATCTCACAGCTAGTGAGTTCGAGCCCTGCGTCGGGCTCCACTCTCATGCACTTGGGATTCTCGCTCTCCCTCTCTCTCTGCCCCTTTCCCACTGGAGCTCTCTCCCTTCCTCAAAATAAGTAAATAAACTTAAAAAAAATGTCCTACAGCTAGCTCAGAGCCTGGAGCCTGCTTCCGATTCTGTGTCTCCCTCTCTCTCTGACTCTCCCCTGCTCATGCTGCCTCTCTGTGTCAGAAATAAATAAAACGTTTAAAAAAAAAAAGATGTCCTACTTGACCTCTGGGGTATCACTGACCACATCACATCCCTCTTCTACAGGACACTTCTTCAAATTCCATGTGTTTGCCCTTGGCCTTTCCTCTCCAGGCTAAACACCTGAGTTTTTTCAAACACTCCTCATGACATGGTATTGATAACCCCAGCTCCCTTCCGGTGTCTCTCTCTGGTGTAGATAACACCATTTTAAAGGACTTCTATTTTTTTCTCAAATAGAGAAGTCCAATCTCTTAAAGATGTTTTCCACTAAATCACATTTAGTCATTGTGGAAAACAGTAATTTAACCTCACATGACAAGACCAAGTAATGCATAAGCTGACAAGATGTGATTCTCAAGTCTGTATGAACTAGACCATTCTAGTTAGGAAAGCATGTTCAAACCATGTACAGAAGCAATTACTTTGCCTCAGACCCAAAACAAACAAAAAGCCCCTAAACTTCACTGAATCAAAATAGTATCACTCACAACATTGAAAGATGGAATTTCGGGGCACCTGGGTGGCTCAGTCGGTTAAGCATCCGACTTTGCCTCAGGTTATGATCCCACCCACTGGAGAGTTTAAGCCTCGCATTGGGCTCTGTGCGGCCGGCTCAGAGCCTGGAGCCTGCTTCAGATTCTACATCTCCCTCTCTCGCTGCCCCTCTCCCACTCATGCTCTCTTTCAAATCACTAAAACAAACGTTAAAAAAAAAATTTCAACAGATACTCAGTTAAGTCACAGTAACAAAGGGAAGATTCTGAAATTTCGAAAACTGAATTAAAAACATCCCTCAAAGTAACTTACTAGGGGCACCTGGGTGGCTCAGTTGAGTTAAGTGTCTGACTTGATTTCAGCTCAGGTCATGATCTCGTGGTTGGTGAGATTGAGCCCCACGTCAGGCTCAGCACAGAGGCTGTTTGGGGTTCTCTCTCTCCGCCCCTCTCCTGATAATGCACATATGCATTCTTTCTCTCTCAAAAGAAATAAGCAACACTTAAAAAAAAAAAAAAAAAAAAGTAACATACTTAGATCAGGATGAATTTTCCAGAGCCAGAAGCAGAAACGAAACGAACAAGACAATCCTAAAACTTTGGGGGTATGAAAATAAGTATAACTATCATCAACACACCACCCTGAGCACACCTCCAGGGATGGCCAAGACCTGCAGATTTCAAGAATATCAGTGGTCTATACCCTCGGGCAGAATTAAGCCACCATTCCAAACGTGGGGTGGTCGGGTCATCCCAGCACCTCACAACGATTTTTAACCCACAGGCTTTAAACAGACACACTAGGAAACAGAGCCCGATTTTTCAAAGTTCTCAACTTGGCCTCCCGTTCGCCACTCAGCCCCGGTCCCCACCACCCCGACGCAGTCGTCGCCTTTCCATTACCTGTGCCACAACACACATAATGGAAAAGACCCACACTTTCGAGCCAGCTGTTCTGGGTTCAGCTCCAGCTTTGCTGCCTACTACCTGCGCCGTGTATGGGTAATTTATTTCGGCTCGATCACCCTGTAAAGCGAGGATGATGCCTTCCTCTAAGAACTGCAGTGAAAGGAAATAAATCCCATGGTACACAGTGAGAGGCCAAGCATTAGCTAGCTGGCTTGCTGGATACAAGAGAACCTAGGTTCTACCCTGAAAGCTACCATTTACTTGGCATGTGACCTTAAGAACGTGACTCACATCTTGGTTTCCAAACCCTTAAAATGGAGAACCCTGACAAACTACTGAGAGGTACTCGAATTTGCCCTTAGAAAGAACCCTACAGAAGCAATTACGCCGTCTCCAACTTTTGTATCCTGAAACACGTTCAGGGAGGAGAGATTTCACCAATTACTGATGACAAACGCTACAAAAGAAGACGGCAGAAAAATGCCATGAAACGAGGCATCTGATGACAGCTACGAAGGCTGCCTTCCCTTCCTCGCAGAGGGCTGCGGTTCCACAGTTAATTGGGAAATACGCCCCGTGCCTCCGGTGCCGGAAGACTCCCGCGGCAGCCCCGGCGGACGCGCCTTCTTGGAAGAGGCGGCGGGTTAAACCAGGTGCCCCCACAGCCCAGCCCGGCTCCGCCCCGGCGGCCCTCCAGGCTGCGTCGCCACAGGTCGGGCCAAAGAGAAGACCGAGAGGGAGGCGGCCGGGGCGAGGCCGCCGCCGGATGCCCGCACTGCGGCACCCGCCCCGCTGCCGCCCACCTGAGGCCGCCCCCGACTCCCGAGGCTCACGGCCACCGTGAGCGCGCCCCGGCCGCCCCGGTCCTCACCCGCAGCCAAGAGGGGCAGGAGCACCGCAAGCACAGCCATGGTTCCGCGGCGGCCGCAGCAGTCCGGGGCGGCACGGACCGGGCCGGCTGAACGCGAGCGACCACCGCAGCGGTAAGGGGTGACGCGCTCCGGCTGGTCCCGACTCCTGAGGCCGCCCTGTCGTCGCCTTCGCTGGGACGACTGTCGCCTTCTCCGCCAATCGCCAGCTACGTCGCGGCCTGCCGAAGCGACGCAGGCTGGGGAACGTCAGCCTCTTGGGCGGGGCCCAAAGTGATGGATGGAAGACCCTACCAATGGCAGGCAGCGATTGAGGGGTCGGGCAGCTCCGCCCCCGGGCCCGTGACCACCAGTCACGAGATTGAGGGTAGGGCAGGGGGTCGGGGATGTAGGGGATGACAGAGCCAGTCGAGGGTTCCTGAGTGCCCACGGGGTGGGACTGGCTCCCAGGTGCGGACCCCTTGGCCGATCTCCCGTGACGGTCTCCAACCGGGGTGTCTGTCTTTCCTGGTCGCGTGGCTCCGCCCCGCTACGAGTGCAGCTGTGGAAGCTACCGGGCTGATTTGGATTCTCTTCTAACAATTGCACAGATGCTGAGCACCTGCTAGGAGGAAGCCAGGCGCCTCGGAACCGGCCCTCCAAGCAGGCGTGCCAGATACAATACGAGACGCCTAGTTAAATTTGAATTTCGGATGAACAACGAATCGTTTTTAGTACAAATATGTCATAAATATTTCATAGGACATGCTTATACGTTAAAAAAAAAAAAAAAAGGATTCGGGGACGCTTGGGTGGCCCAGTCAGTTAAGTGCCAACTCTTGGTTTCCGCTCAGGTCCTGATCTCACGGTTTTGTGCGTTGGAGCTCCGCAGTGGGCTCCGCGCTGACACTGAGGCTCCTGCTTGGAATTCTCTCTCTGCCTCTCCCCACTTGTTCTCCGGCCCTCGCGCACGCGCTCTCTCTCTCTCAAAATAAAAAAATAAACTTAAAAAATGTGTTTAAGTATTCATAGGGACCCCTGGGTGGCTCAGTGGTTAAGCCTCTGACCCTTGATATCAGCTCATGTCTTGACCTCAGAGGGTGAGTTTAAGTTCCACTTAGGGTTCCGCAACAAGATAGGAAGCCTACTTAAAGAAAAGAAAAGAAAAGAATTATTTGTTGCTTGTCTGAAATTCACATATGACTGGGCATCCTGTATCTTGATCCTCTAAATCTGGCAACCCTTTCTCCAAAGACTTTCCTATCACCAGGAGCGATGGGACAAGAATATTACTTCCTTCGTCCATTTGCTCAGTGTTAGCTGAGGGCTAGAGCTACTAATCACACCTGGATCCATTCTTCCCACTTTTTCAGGGGCTTTTTTTTCTGCCTACTTTGTTTGCAAGAAGTGATACAGTTTAACAACTAAGATCAGAAAAGGATGCCCCCGCCCATGGCCTTGAAAGACGTTTGTGGTTTCAATATCAAGAACAGGAGAAGAGGCGGTTCTGGCAGGTAGCAAAAACCATACGATAGATGCAACATGGAGAGAGCCTGTCAGGTTGAGTATTAACTGTTTGATTTAAGGAAAGAAGAGATTATATGGGGGAGAGGGTGGCACATGGAGCTAAAGTGTTCAATTACACACATATTTATTGAGAATATTAAATGCTAAATAAAAGAACTACGCATCAACTGGCAGGAAATGGGGAGCCATTGAAGGTGCTTGAGCTTTGTAAAGTGCACAAAAGCAAAGCAGACTTGTTGGGGGGGAAATGCCCTACTGTTTACAGTTTCGCATCTCCATTTTCTTCTTGGGGTTAATTGAAGGGGAAAAAAAGGAGATGGGTTGGAAGCAGTTTTCCCAGAAGTTGTTCAGGTAGCAGATTTACACCAGGAAAAACTTGCACCACTCAAAACTGGAATCAGAACCCTCCCCAGTTTTGAACTTTATGAAACCCACTATACTCACCAAATCCACTCTAAATTATAGAATGGAGGGGCGCCTGGGTGGCTTAGTCGGTTAAGCGTCCGACTTTCGCTTAGGTCATGATCTCGCGGTTCGTGGGTTCGAGCCCCGCGTCGGGCTCTGTGCTGACTGCCAGCTCAGAGCCTGGAGCCTGTTTCAGTCTGTGACTCCCTCTCTCTCTGACCCTCCCCTGCTCATGCTGTCTCTCTCTCTCTCTCTCCTAGAAATAAATAAAACATTATAAATAAATAAATAAATAAATTATAGAATGGAATCTGGATCCCCCCCCCCCTCAACGTCAGGAAACTCTTGACTCTCAAATTTGCATTATTTCAGAGGAGAATTTGCACAAAAGTGACTTTAAAGAAATCTGTAGGGGGAAGGGATATTTTTCCATTAGAAATGTGAAATCATTAGATTACTCCAAAATGTCTAAAGCAGCTCATTTCCAAAGCATCAACTCTGAAATGACTGGCTTGAAGAAAAAAAAAAGATCTATAAAAATTTAATCATTTTTTAAAAATTCATTTAAAAAATTGTTTATTTTGAGAGAGAGGGAGGGGCAGAGAGAGACAGAGAGGGAGAGAAAGAAAGAGAGAGAGGAAGAGAGAGAGAGAGAGAGAGAGAATCCCAAGTAGGCTCCACACACAGCCCGATGCAGGGCTCAAACTCACAAAACTGTGAGATCATGACCTGAGCCGAAACCAAGGGTCAGATGCTTAACCAACTGAGCCACCCTGGCACCCCTAAAAATTCATTTTTAAGCGTGATGGAGTCATTCCTCTTTACATCAACTAAAATTGTATTCTTTGTCCATCTTGCTGCATGTCCTAGAACAGATTCTTAACCAAAGGCCCTGACAGAAAAAAATAAACCTTATTTAGGGGCATCATCAGCTCAAAGCGGAGAACTTCTGCTATTTCATCCAGCCTAAAGAAACAGGAAAAGGAGTTTCTTGAAAGAGCTCTAGGACATTCTTATTTCTTTTAATTTGAAGGAAACCAAAAGTGTTTGAAATAGACAGGAGCATAAAATAAATCCCTCTTCTTTGCCCTCCCCGCAAGAAAACCTCAAAGTCCTACCATCTTTCCATGCTCTGTGTCTTGAGAAACAGCATCCTCCTTTGAAGGAGGGGTGAACAGCTTATCCTTTAAAGCCCCCTTTTCTCTGAAGTCTCCAAAGGGCATCACTGCTCCTTACGGCCTTGGAATTCAGCAAGATAAACACTGTAGGCGCTTTCTCTTTGTTTCACAGATTGAGAGATTGAAACCTGGGGAAGGGCGTTTGTACTCAAGGTCACATTGTGAATCGTCAGCAGTCTGCTCCCTCAGTGTAGCCCTTCCGATTCAATCTTTTGCGCTGGGTAAACAATCAGGGATGTGCGGTTAACTTTCTCATTGAAGCATTTAGAGGTGGATATATGTGTGGCAGGATAATACAGGAAGTAATGACCTGTGTTTAGCCAAAAAGAAACCCCCTCCCCTACCTTCATCACACCTCTCCTCCCAGGCCGGATAGCCAAGGCTCCTGTCATTCATCACCCTGAGGGGAGGATTCTTAGAGAGGAACCAGTAAACAAAGATGGCTGGTGCTTGGCTATTGAATTTTTAAAGGAGAGGTCCAGGAATAAGATTTGAAAGAATACACAGTTCAGACTGTTTCCCTAATTCTGTCCCCCTGACCTATTAATTTCAGCAGTAAGTTCTGAGTGATCCCAGAGGCAGCATTTTGAGATGGCTTGGTCCCTGCAAATCAGCCATCCGGGCGCCCTGTGGGGCCCAAGATCATGCCATGCCCCCAGACCATGCAGCCCCCACTCAATTAAAATTAAGAATTTCTTTTCAGGGCCTCCTGAGTGGCTCAGTTGGTTAAGCATCTGATTTCGGCTCAGGTCATGATCTCACAGTTGGTGAGTTTGAGCCCCGCATCGGGCTCTGTGCTGACATCTCAGAGCCTGGAGCCTGCTTCGGATTCTGTGTCTCCTCTTTCTGCCCCTCTCCCAGTCTCACTCTGTCTCTCTCTGTCTCTCTCTGTCCCTCTGTCTCTCTCCCTCTCTCTGTCTCTCTGTCTCTCTCTCTCTTTTAAAAATAAATAAACATTGGGGTGCCTGGGTGCCTCAGTCAGTTAAGCGTCCAACTTCGGCTCTGGTCATGATCTCACAGTTCGTGGGTTCGAGCCACACATCAGGCTCTGTGCTGGCGGCTAGCTCAGAGCCTGAAGCCTGTCTTCAGATTCTGTATGTATCTCCCTCTCTCTGTGACCCTCCCCTGCTCACACTGTCTCTCTCGCGCTCTCAAAAAAAAAAAAAATTTAAAAAATTAAAAAAAATAAAAAATAAAAAAATAAAGCTGAAGATATACACGCCCTGTGACCCAGGAGTTCTATTCCTTGGATTAAATATTGTAGGAATATGCACTTACATGTGCCGGAATACATGTAGAAAATGTTCATAACACTCATTTGCTCCCTATTCATAATAGCCAAAAACTAGAAGCAATTTAAATGTTCCTTAAGAATAGAATGGATAACAAATTGTGGTATATTCCATACAATGGGATACTATACCACAATGAAAATTAAGAAATGCAAATAATATATATTATATATCATATATATTTATATTATACATAAATATAAATAAATGAACAGTGTGATTCCATTTATGTAAACTTTCAAAACAGGCAAAAAGAAAGTATATTGTTTAGGGATGTAGCATAGGCGTTCAAAGTATATTGAGAAGCAAGGAAGTGATTATCATAAAAATCCAATAGCGGTTACCTACGTATGGGGTAGTAGAGATGGGGATGTGTCCAAAGGGCACAAGGATGTGGGGGTGCTGGCCATTCCTCAATGACCTAGGTAGTGGTTATTTTACTAGTGTTCATTTCATAATTATCCATATTCTGGACATTGATATTATATGTTTGTGTGTTATATTTTACAATAAAAAGGTTTTAAAAACCTAGTTGCTTTTTTGAATCTTCAGAAGGCATATCTTCCTTTGACTTGGGAGGAATTATTTGTATGTGATTTTCTCTTTTTTTAATGTTTTATTTATTTTTGAGAGAGAGAGAACAGGAGCATGGGAGAGGCAGAGAGAGGGGGTGACAGTGGATCCAAAGTGGGCTCTGTGCTGAGAGCAGACACCCCAATGTAGGACTTGAACTCACAAGCCATGAGATCATGACCTGACCCAAAATCAAGAGTCTGATGCTTAACAGACTGAGTTCCCCAGGTGCCCCAAGACATGGCAATCTTAT